TTTGATAGCAAGCATCCAAGCTTTGCCGACAAGGATACCAACTATTTTAGAAGCAAAGCTGGTGGACTCAAGAAAGCCAGACTTGGCACTGGTGGCAAATACCACAAACAAAACGTAGCAGCTGTTGAAGCTTCATGTTTGGTGGCACTCAATCACCAGAGTTATGAAACCTCATACCATGGCTGAGGATTTACTGTTGCCAGTGGCCAAAGACATTGCTCGAGTTATGATCGGAGATGAATGTTACAAAATTGAGTGCGATGGCACTGTGCAGAAGAATAGACGGCATGTCTGCTGATATTCTTGATCAGGTCATCCAGGAAATTAAATCTGCTCTACTTCCAATATTTAGCATCTAGCTTGAATCTACAGATGTTGCAAACTCTTCAGTTACTGGTTTATGTGAGGAATATTAATGATGGCGACTTTAAAGATAAGTTTTTTGGCAAACCTCTTGAAACAACTACTGCACGTGATGTATTTAATTTGGATGGATTTCAACGTTTGCTACTGAATGAGTCACCCACAGTCATTGGAATTCACTGTATGATTCATCGGCAAATATCAGCAACAAAGACACTGGCACAAGAGTTACAATAAGTAATGAAAAGTGTCATGAGTTCTGTTAATTTCGTAAAGGTGAGCACTTTAAACAGTTGTCTGTTTTTGCAACTGTGGAAAACTGTGGAACAAGTTGGATGCACCAAGCAGTGCTCTGCTATGTCACATGCAGTGAGATGGTTGTCCAGAGGAAAAAATTTACAACTTGTTTTTGAGTATCGTGATGAACTCAAAACGTTTTTTAATCAGAAAGCAAGACCGTAGTTCAAAACACTTTTCAGTGATAAAAGTGATCTGCGGAAAATGGCAAAGATGTCAACTAAGCTTACTTAGTTGACATCTTTGCCATCTTGAATAAGTTAAACTGATCACTGCAAGTACCAAATGCAACATGCCTCGCTTGGTCTGAAAATAGCCAATCATTCCAAATGAAACTTCAGCTATGGCAAAAATAATTGGATCAAATTAAAATGTACATGTTGCTTACCTCATCTGCTTTCTTTGAGGAACATGACATTGAAGCAGACAAAAGGATTACGATGATAATTTCTGTGAAAGACTTGCACATGTCTGCAGAAGAAATTTCATTGTACTTTCCAAATCTACCTGATACCCCATTTGCACTTGCCACAAGCCCATTCACAGTCAACGCTGAAGATGTTCCTGAGACAACACAAGGGATTCATTGAACTTATTAACAGTGATGCAGTGAGAACTAACTTCTCTATAATGCCAGTTACAAAATTCTGGATCAAGTGTTTGCAGTCATATCCTGTTCTGTCTGATACTGTGTTGTACCTTCTTCCATTTCCAACAACTTATCTTTGTGAAACAGGGTTTATCAGCTTGTTGATTATCAAGTCTAAATACAGAAGTAGACATATTGTGAAAGGTGATCTTCATTGTGAGAATTTCAGATCTGGTGAGAAAGAAGCTATCTCAACCTTTGCACTGACGTTGGCTTTTTATGCACACTGTTGCAAGATGTAGCAATATAGTTTACCGTTATTATATTAAGACTGTTATCCATGCTACACCAAGTTTCAAGACAAAATTTCATGTATTTGTAATTAGATATAAATAGTTCACAAAATATATTTACATATTGTTTTGTAATTAATCACTATGCTTCATGTTCAAAGACTGCCCTGAGAATTTCTGATCTTGTGAAAAAGAAGCTATCTTTACCTTCGCACTGACATTGGCTTTTTACGCATACCACCTGAAAATGTAGGAGTGCCATTTACTGTTGTTATATTACGACTTTTACCCAGGCTACGCCATGCTTCAACACAAAATTTCATCTATTTGTAATATAATTACATATTGTCTTATTGATTAATCACTGTTGTAATTATGTTCAATTTGTAACAAGGAAAATACATCCTGAATATCAGATATTACATTACCATTCATAACAGTAGGTAAATTACTGTTATGAAGTAGCAACAAAAATAATTTTATGGTTATGGGTCACCACAACATGAACTGTATTAAAGGGTTGAGACATTAGGAAGGTTGAGAACCACTAGGCTAAATCTTCTTCAGGACCCCCATGGTGATTACAGAAATGTGCCAAGCAGGCAGATCTCCAGGTAATGTTAGCAAATTCCCACTCAGGGCCTTTGTTGACAACTAAGGGTAGTGCACCACCTAGCCCAAGATCCCAGGAGCCAGTCCCTAAGGCAGTTTACCCTACACTTCCCAAGAAGTCTGACCTTTCCCAACCTTATATTAAACCTTGCAAGGAGGAAGTGCCCCCATTGACTCCTGCAGGATCAAAAAGCCAGGCTTTGTCTCCTCTACACACCCATAGCGAGGCCCCTCAAATTGTCCAAGTTCAGCTCCTGAAAGAGGCACCACCCAGGACCAAAAAGACCAACCCTTTTTAGTTTTGTCCCTTACCCCATTCCTTCCATCAAATCATTGATGTGACATGAGCTCTTAAAAAAAATAATGATTTAAAACTTTACACAGTAAATTGGTTTTCCATTCAACAATTCATATCTTGATTGCAGCCCCTAAGATGTACTAGCACTCTTCCCACTTCCACCCTCCCTGTGTTTTACCATCATTATTCAACCTTCTTTCCTGTTCCTTCCTGCTTTTAAGAGTTTTTATCCATAAGCAAATGCTATCCTTTTGATTTGATACGGTTGGTTGTTCTAAGGACTGTATACCTCTCAGATGTTCCTCTTCCCCTCCAAGCCGGTATATTGTTTAGCTGAAAGATGAGTCAGAGGAGTGAGTACATTTCCTGGAGTGAAGAGTCACTAAGGGCCATAGTCACTAAGATTCCAAGTCTCCATCAGACCAGTAAGCCCGATCTATTTCCTGATTTGGGGTTTTGTTCCACTTTGTTCTCCCACTCAACTCATGCTTCTCTTTTGCGATCCCTTTCTGAGTAATTAGCATTGGAAGCTGGCCACCATCTAGTTCTCGTCTCAGGGTCGCGGAGGCTGAGGTTCAATGTGGTGCAATGGTCCTCTGGATTAGTTGTTCCCATACATCTTCTATCATCTTCTTATTTTACAGTACTTTGGTGCTGTTTCTGGGAGTAACAATGAGCATGCAGATGGGGTGGGCACTACTGGCAACTGAGTGGGCAATCTACTGTTTGGTATAGCTGTGATCCAGAAAAAGCAGGTTTAGCTCTTTCAGGCACTGATAGCTGGAAGAGCAATGAGGTGCCCTTGTGCCATGTGGAGGTCTGGAAGGCCCTGTCCCCACACCGATGGGCCATGTCAGTAGAGGGACAGCAATTCAGAGAATGGGTACCTGCATGGTAAGTCACAATTGTCTGTTCCCATGCTTGGTCCAGGCTAAACTCTAGCACCTTCTCCTTTGTTTTGAAAGCTTGTTGCACTAACCCTAATGAAAAGTTTTCTCGTTGGGAATTTTCTCATGTTTAATGAGACTTGACTTCTACATATAAGATTTCCCACATTTAATTCATGCAAAGGACTGCTTTACTGTGTGAAATCTCTGATGTGCTATAAGGAAATTCTTCCGGATAAAACCTTCCAACCCACACCACATATATAAGGTTTTTCTCAGATATGAATTAGTAGATGAGTTTTGAGATGTTTTTTCTGAATGAAGCCTTTGCCACACTCTCCACATACATGAGGTTTCTCTCCAGTATGAGTTCGCTGATGATCAATGAGAGTAGCCTTCCTGATAAAGGCTTTTCCACATTCATCACATACATGGGGTTTCTCTCCAGTATGAGTTCGCTGATGAACAGTGAGAGCAGTCTTCCTGATAAAGGCTTTCCCACATTCAGTACATACATAGGGTTTGGGTTTCTCTCCAGTATGAGTTTGCTGATGAACAGTGAGAGAATTCTTCTTAATAAAGGCTTTTCCACATTCAGTACATACATGGGGTTTCTCTCCAGTATGAGTTCGCTGATGAACAGTGAGTTGACCCTTCCAGGTATAGGCTTTTCCACATTCACTACATACATGGGGTTTCTCTCCTGTGTGAAACGCCTGATGTGCTTTAAGGCATTGCTTCCGGCTGAAAGCTTTACCACACTCACCACATACATAGGGTTTTTCTCCTGTATGAGTTCGTAGATGATTTTTGAGACCTGTTTTCTGAGTGAAGGCTTTGCCACATTCACTACATACATGGGGTTTTTCTCCTGTATGAGTTCGTTCATGATAAGTGAGAGCACCCTTCCTGATAAAGGCTTTGCCACATTCACCACATACATGGGGTCTCTCTCCAGTATGAGTTCGCTCATGATAAGTGAGAGCACCCTTCCTGATAAAGGCTTTTCCACATTCACCACATACATGGGGTTTTTCTCCTGTGTGAAACGCCTGATGTGCTATAAGGCATTGCTTCCGGCTGAAAGCTTTACCACACTCACCACATACATGGGGTTTTTCTCCTGTATGAGTTCGCAGATGACTTTCGAGAGATGATTTCTGTAAGAAAGCTTTGCCACATTCAGTACATACATGGGGTTTTTCTCCTCTATGAGCTTGTAGATGAGTTTTGAGATGTATTTTCTGAATGAAGCCTTTGCCACATTGACCACATACATGGGGTTTCTCTCCAGTATGAGTTCGCTGATGAACAGTGAGAACAGACTTCCTGATAAAGGCTTTTCCACATTCACCACATACATGGGGCTTTTCTCCTGTGTGAAATGCCTGATGTGCTATAAGGCATTGCTTCCGGCTAAAATCTTTACCACACTCACGACATACATAGGGTTTTTCTACTGTGTGAGTTCGTAGATGACTTCTGAGAGGTGCTTTCTGAGTGAAGGCTTTGCCACACTTACCAGATACACGGGGTTTCTCTCCAGTATGTGTTCGCTCATGATCAGTGAACTCAGTCTTCGAGAAAAAGGCTTTTCCACATTCACCACATACATGGGGTTTCTCTCCTGTGTGAAATCTCTGATGTGCTATAAGGCGTTGTTTCTGGCTGAAAGCTTTACCACACTCACGGCATACATAGGGATTTTCTCCTATATGAGTCCATAGATGAGAATTGAGCTGTGCTTTCTCAATGAAGCCTTTTCCACATTTACCACAAACATGGGGTTTCTCTCCAGTATGAATTCGCTGGTGAACAGTGAGAGAAGTCTTCCTGATAAAGGCTTTGCCACACTCTCCACATACATGGGGTTTCTCTCCTGAGTGAGTTCGATGATGAAAAGTGAGAGCAGCCTTCGTGATAAAGCCTTTCCCACATTCACCACATACATAGGGTTTCTCTCCTGTATGAGTTCGCTGGTGAAAAGTAAGAGAAGTTTTGCTGATAAAGGCTTTGCCACATTCACCACATACATGGGGTTTCTCTCCAGTATGAGTTTGCTCATGATAAGTGAGAGCTGTCTTCCAGATATAGGCTTTTCCACATTCACCACATACATGGGGTTTCTCTCCTGTGTGAAACGCCTGATGTGCTTTAAGGCATTGCTTCTGGCTGAAAGCTTTACCACACTCATCACATACATAGGGTTTTTCTCCTGTATGAGTTTGTAGATGACTTCTGAGCTGTGTTTTCCGAATGAAAGCTTTGCCACATTCACCACAGACATGGGGTTTCGCACTAGTATGACTTTTCTGATGAATAGTGAGGTACTTCTTCCTGATAAAGGCTTTTTCACATTTAGTGCATACATGGGGTTTCTCTCTAGTATGAATTCGCTGATGAGCAGTGACATCACTCTTCCTGGTGAAGCCTTTCCCACATTCACTGCATACACAGGGCATCTGTGCCACCTGAGTTTTCTGATGTTCCTGGAGGTATGATTTACTATGATAAGCTTTGCCACATTCCAAGCATTTATACAGTTTTTGTCCTTCATGAGCTTTCTGATGATGTTCATTGAGTTTGAACATTTTATCAAATTTTTGCCCACACTGACTGCATTCATAGGTCTTATCTAGTATATCAATGGTCTGGTGCTCACAGAGCAAAGACTTCTCAATGAAGGTTGTCCCACATTTATCACCCGTGTGTGTTTTCTCAATTTCATCAGATTCCTGATGCTGAATCCACTGTGACTTCGTGGGCCTAGATTGTTCACACTCAGGGACTTTCATGTCAGTACAAAATTGCTCTTGTTCAACATGGAGAAAAGTTTTCCCATCTCCACTGAGCACAGCTGATCTCTTTATTTTGTTGCGTCTGTTCTGATTTAATTTAAGAATGATTAAATCTGATTCTACAATTTCTTCATGAAAGCCAAACATCTCATAATTTTCCATGAGAGGAAAATTATTTTTGTGCTGAGAAACAATAATTTCCAATGAATTAAATTCATAGCACTGTTCCATTCTGTCCATGTATCTTTCATGTTGCGAGTGTTCGAGCATATGATCACCATCTTTCTGGATTTCTATAAAAGAACAGAACATTGAATTTTTCCATTATCTTGATTTATAATGGACCTCTTAAAATATGCATTGATACAAGGTGAATCCTTAGTGACAACTCTCTTATATGAAATGTAAATATACACTATGCTTAAAGTTTATCCCATTGGAAGAAATACAATCATGTAAACAATCCAAATGATAAAAAGTTATTATAGAAACAACGAGGGGCATAAAAGAAATGAATGAACACAGATTTGGTATTTGCTTAAATAAGACCATGAAAATATACAACAAATGTAATACAAACAAGACATTGAGACCAATAGACCAAAGGGGTGGTAAGGCTTGCTAATGTTAGCTGGTAGATGACAGATGTATTCATTCCATCAATCTTTACTAAGAGACAAGTAAGTACTGCATAAAGTTGGGAATGTGAAAAATGCAGAATATTCTACTTGGGAGAAAACCATTTAAACAGATATATATGAAAGGTATTATGGTACACAAACATATTCTGTATGTCTATGGAGCCAATATTCTAGCTTACATCACCCATCTTTCAGTGTTGTCCTGGGGTGGCTTGCATGTTGCTGTGATGCCAGAAGCCATGCCACCCAGTGTTTCAAATACAAGCAGGATCACCCATGGTGCACAGGTCTTAGTGGAATCTCCAGAAATAGGGACTGGGAGGGAGACCTGGTGATCTACTTCTGGAACAGGAACCCCTCAGGTTTAATGGCAACAAAATAACACTGAACAAGAACTAAATCCCCAAAGCACAGTCAACAGTGATGATGTGGATGAATGAGAGCTTTGGGGACCTTAAGCGGTTGACATGTCATGACTGAAAATGAGAAAAAATAGATGCAAACATCCTCTAATAATTGGAAGATGGAATAAATGAAGGATTATCAAGAACAATTGCCAGTTGTCAAAACAAAATGGAATGTTTAAATACTGATGGTATATGGCTTATTAAATTTAAATAGACCGGTACTGGCTATTTTTAAATAGGTAATCAAGTGGTTTATAAGGCTGAGATTGACAAATTCAAGAATACTGGTGGTCAAATTCAACATCAAAATGCACATTGCAAGATCTTCTCTGAAGTATAATTCTGTCTGTGGTAGGTTAATATTCATATGCTTGCAGGTAAGACCAGTTACTATGAGTGTTATTTAGATTTGTGCACCAACTGTTAAAGCAAACATAAAGTTTGGGATTTAGCCCCACAGCCATACGGGCCCTTAGGAACAGCATGTGCAAGTAAGGAAGATAAAGCAGACAGCAAAAATGGGGTAGAGTGGCCACATCTCCGATGCCGGAATAAGATAGCGAGGTCATTTAACAGTGAATTTATATAGGAGCAAGGTGTGGAAGCCTCCAGAAGGCACAGGCACAACAGAATGGACAAGTGTGAATGTGGGAATACCCTGAATTCTTTTAGAACATTTCGTGATAAGTATCAGGCTGTGGGAAACTGAGGACCAAGAAGAGAGTGGATGCAGACAAATTCTTTAGTCTCAGAATTAAAGAAGATTGTAAGGCCAGGTATCTGGGGAGAGTGAGGCATTCACATTTGTAAGTTGGAAAAGAGTCCCCGTCACATTCTCTGAATTAAAAATCATGCCCACAATATTCTCTCATTATAGTGCTACCTTAATGATACCTCATGCAAGCACATGGCTAATTACTATCTGCCACCAGCTTTAACTATAAGAGCAGACATGTTGTTATTGGCCTCCCTGCTCAGGGGATAGTTAACCCCACGCCACCCCACCCCACCCTCAGCACTGGTCTTAAGTTGCTCACCCAAGTACTTCAGGGACCTCCAGGGTAAAGATACTGCCTACCTTGCTAGGCACATAGGTGTGTCTGGGGTGGGGGTGGAGTGCGACTGCATGGCCCAGAGACTTTATACCATATATACTCCAGTATAAGCCAACCCAAATATCACAAAAACTGCATAAAAATGTGCTGAATAACTCAGCGTATACATGAGTATATACAGTAAATTGGTGAAAGAATACATTCTCTCTCTATCCTGCTCAGACTTGGCATCATGGAAGAGGTGAGTGCCTAAATACTTGTCTGCCTTTTTACTTCTGCCCTTCACTTACACAACTGTCCCTTAGGACCCACCCAGAAGACATTTAAGAGACAAAAGGGTAGTTGATTCCTTGAGTGATAGCAACAAAAGGAACCTAATTGCTTTCAAAGCTAGGCATCTTTTAGCTGAGTAGCAAGAAGTCAGGCACCTGTCAGAGCTGTACACTAGCATCTTAATGGAGGGAGGGTAGTTGTGGAGAAAACTCTATCTGGAGATTGTGCGCTATCAGCTCTAGCTTTATCCTTGGGGCTTGGGGAGGTTTTCTTCTAACACCAGTACTGGTCCTCCAAGCCCTGTGGGCAGGAGTACAGAGACAAGGCAGCTTACACTTTGATCCAGGTTCTGTTTCCACAATAAAGAAATTGAGGGTGGGGCAGGGAGGGGATAAAGCGGAGCTGATATCAAGGAATTCAAGAAGAAAATGTTTTGAAACTGTGGTAGCAATTGTACAAGACTGCTCGATGTGCCTGAACTATGGAATGTTATGAATCTGTAAGAGCTCCCAATAAAATGATTAAGAATATATATATATATATATATATATATATAGAGAGAGAGAGAGAGAGAGAGAGAGAAATTTTTGCATAACTTTTGCAACCTGACATTGATCAACCATACAATCATGTGCACTGAGGAATGTAAAATTTGGGAACAGTATCAGTAATTGGAAGACGTGGTCTTAGTGGCAGAAATGACACACTAGTTAACTGATAAAATTTTGAGACTAATGATGATTTCACAACAAATTCCTTATTAAACAACAAAAATGGACACTATACATATAGATCTTTCTGAGTGGAACAAATGAAAATCCAATCAACCACATCTGTAGAAAGAAATGATGGGGAACCTCATAAGTCAAAACAAGGCCAGGGGTTAACTGTGGAACAGATCAATTGCTCAAATGCAAGTTGAAGCTAAGCAAAGTACTTAGATCACAGAGCTTAGAGACTACCTAAAGAATAAACTTGAGGAATAAAAGATTGATGACTGAACAATAATGACTGAAGACCAGATAAGTTGTGGGATGACACCAAGGACATCATACACATGGAAACCAAAAGACAATGAACAAAGACAGCAATATTGGATATATTATGCATTGTTTGAATAACAACAACAACAACAAAAAATCAGTGTTGGAATATACAGCCAAAATGTTCTTTAGAAACAGCAAAGCACCTTTCGGGTTTTGGACCTGTTAAGAAGGTGTGGGCTTAAGACGGCATACTGCATAGTAAGGAATACACATCAGACAGGTGTTTAATCAAATAAATAAATAAATATGACAGAAAGCAGGATGTTAATAATGTCCTTTCCACTTACAAAATTATTGGAGGAATAGGCAACTTAAAAAAAAAAAGAATCAAGCCATCTAGCTCAGAAGCAACAAAGCCCACTTGGAAGAAGCACACCAGCCAGTGTGATCATGAGGTGTCGAAGAGATCAGGTATCAGGCATCATCAGAACAAAAAATCGTATCATTGTGAATGAGGGGGAGTGTGGAGGCAATTGGACATCCCCTTACAGAAGGGTCGCGGGGAGGAGACAATTTGACCATCTCTGATAGAAAGCAGAAATAACGTCTATCACTAGAGTGAAGACAACTTTAAAGGGAGAGGAGAAAAAATGAGAAAATGGAAACCAAAACCTTGAGAGTAGCCGTTCTCCACCTGTGGGTCGTGACCCCTGTGGGGATCAAACGACCCTTTCTCAGGGGTCTCTGATTCATAACAGTAGCAAAATTAGTTATGAAGGAACAATGAAAATAGAGGAACTCCAAGGGGAAGCTGAGGAAGCATAATGGAGACCTGTTTATGGTGGGAGCTCAGGACCCACTCTTGCTCACTAGTGGAGGGAAGTGCTGTATTCTGGGGACAGTAACGTGCTCCAAGTTCTCTGTTTGGAGAGCGGCTTGCAAGATGGACTTTCATAGTAAGGTAGAAGCATATAAGAGAGGGAAAGTTTTGACCATCTTAAAGAAAATGATAGAGCCAAACATATAATAATGTAAATCAAATAAATGGAAATCTAAAAATCTACTCTCAGAAGAGCTACAGGAGTACTTCTCGCAACTGGTAGGAAAAGTGAGGTCTCACATTCGAAGGAGCACACACGATCATGTGTTATCTGACACCTATGATGGATGGGAGGCCTTCTACCAGGTGAATCAACTCCTCTGGCCAATTACCCTTAAGGTATTTTGACCAGGCACCTGACAAATTTCCACTATAGCTTGTCTCTAAAAACGACCCCAGTTCTCCTTGTTCCAATTGAGAGGAAGCTTCTGAGCTGACAACCAGATAACCTGTTCATGAGAAACTACAGAATCTCAGACACACCGAAATGAACCTAAGCTTTGTAAAGCCTGCAGAATGTTGTATTTCTAGGAAAACCATGTTCAAAGGAGCAAAGTAAAGGGCATTCTTTCAAGAGTAGAAGACCTTACCCACTAACCTAGGACCAGAGAATGCAATGAGAATCTACCTCTTTGAGAACACCACAGACACAGCAAGGATTTTAACACATGAAGCCAACGACGACGAGGCCAATGACTTGAGAATTCTCCTCACCGATGGAAAGCAGGTTGCGATAGTTCTCCAACATCACATCCTTATATAGGGTCTTCTGAGCAGGGTTCAGGAGCTGCCATTCCTCCCAGGTGAACTTTACAGCCACATCGTTGAATGTCAGTGATTCCTGTAGTAAGAGGAGTCTATTTAATGACGTATTTTCCAGTTGAAGATTAAAAAATATCTATCTTACAGTAGAGAAAGCAAAACAATAATAAAAACTATTCTGTGCTAGTGCATTCCATAGTGTGTGGTAAACTGAGGACTTGGTAGAAAGCATTTGATCTTTTCTACACTTGCAACCATGGGCAAGGAAAAAGCCCTATTTTCAGAAAGATCTCCATTGTTCTGATAAAGAAATGTTTTCAAATACACGCTCTGCAGGCCAAATAATGTGCACCCGACAATAGACCTCCGTGAAGGAGCAGCCTTAAAGGAGCTATCATACTGTGTTTCCCCCAAAATAAGACATGCCCATAAAATAAGCCGTAGCAGGATTTCTAAGGTTCTGTGCAATGTAAGCCATACCCTGAAAATAAGACATAGTGGTAGGCGTGACTCAGTGTAAGGAAGACGGGCAGCCCTTCTCACGTGCCCCATCGTGACCGCTGCTATCTCGGAGGTGACCAGAGAGGTGCGGGCAGCCCCATCAACAAGGCCGGGCCCCCGTCAGGTCCCGGTCATACTGTGCGTGCTGCAAGCTGAGGCACAGAGGGAGACACAGACAGTGAACGTAAAAGTCTCCTCAGTGAAGTGAGGAGCAGGACGGACGCTCTGCTTCAGGTATTGTGTGTCCTGAGGGGGACGGAGTGAAGCTGTGGCTGCCATTTTACTCAGCACTGTGGGTCAATGTTCCAGAAGAAGACGACTTAACTATGTTCGAATAAATGTAGATTGTTATACCCTACTTAATAAAAATAAAACATCCCCTGAAAAATCAACCATAGTGTGTCTTCTTGAGGAAAAATAAATATAAGACAGTGTCTTATTTGGGGGAAAACACAGTAGTAGAAGAATCATTTCTCTGCCTGGCTGCTTCACTATGCTTGAAGGCTATCTGTAGATTAGAACAATCAGGTTCTGTAGCCAGTCCACCATAAAATGTAGCAAATGTCTGGGGAGGGCTCACGGCATATTTGAGGTCAAGTAGCCCTAGGTCAAGATGGTGACTCCCCTTCTTGCTTGTTTGTTGTCACCCACTTACAACACTGCCCATTGACTGGGTATATGCTAACTGCATGAGGTGCATGCTTACGAAAGATCTGTAAGCTCCATTACATATACCTATTGGAAAATACATCCACTCTCAGTCCTGGCATGGGAAGAGAGCTCCTGTGTCCGGCTGTCTGGTCTCTGTCTTTTAAGATTTGCCATAATTGCAATGTTACTCCTAAGGTTCAAGTGTTGGGGACCCGTGTCACCAAAATAATGCACCCACTCATAAAATTAGAATTTTGAGTACCACTGAAATGATCTGAATGAGCTAGAAATAGCTGATTTATACTCACACAAAGTAGATAAACACCTGTTTATATTAACAAACAAGTTTACAGAACATTGTGAAATGGGATTAGGAGTCCTAGCACTATCACCAGTATACAAGGCTCTGTACCTTCAGTGGCACTAGGTATCAGGAACAGTTCAGATGGGGGCGGGGAAACATACCTCAGCTCTCCAACATTTTTTGCCAATTCTTACACAAGCCATTCTCCCACACTACGCTTTGTCTCACTTCTGGGTTTGATAATCCATTACTATGGCCACACAAAACTCATAGATCAAAGTGGTCTATTAATGAACAAGGTAAAACTTGGGATCAGGAGCAAAATGCTGTAACTCAGATCCCAAAACAGAAAGTTCATAGGGTTTATCTCTTCCTGAGTGCAGGAAGCTCTTAGAAGCCACCTTAGGACAAGCTCTTCTTGTCAATCTTAGGAAAAATTCTTCTCAGACACCTTCGAACAGTATTGACTTAACTTTAATTAAAAGGTCCTCTTGAACCTGCCATCTTTTATCACATTCTCTCCAAGTGGCCCCTCTTAATCTTGCCTAGGCAGGGAAGGTGCTAGGTTGGCCCAAGAAGCCATCTTATCAAGAGTTAGAGCAAGAGGGAGAGAGAGAACTGCCTGCAGGCATTGTTGAGAAGAAACAGTGAGACATCGGCTTTTCTTCTGAACTGCTGATTTGGTTTTGTTAGCCTCTGCAGCCACATAGTTCAGAGTGAACCCATGGATTAGAGATTTGCCAGCTTTCAGAAATTCATGAGCCATTTCCATGACATCCCTGCCAACTATGAGCTGCCTGTGTGACCTGATTTGAGAGTTTCCTCCACTCCATGAGCCAACAGTTTGATGCCTGACATTTTAGATTCACCAACTTCCACATCCTGAAGAGTTATTTACCTGATGCCTGTTTAGTTTTGTGAGATAATGCTGAGCAAATCAAGGAACATCTTGAACCTCTACCTCATAGGGACTGATCTACTGCTGCTCCCGCACAATGCACTGCAACATTCATGAGTCAAGAGAATGGAGATAATGCTGAGGGCAGAAGGGACACAGTGACAGAGCCAACTGTGACAGGTCCAGTAAGGGCTTTTCAGCCAAGATATGGGCCAGGCAGGCAAGACCAAGAGGAGGATATCTCTAAGAAGCTGAGAGGAGCCTATAGAGATGGAACAATGAAATGAGCCCACCTTCAGGGGGCAAATGTCGGAGAGGGACACAGAGAAAAGGCCTGCCCTGAAGAAGAGCAAATGTGCCTGCATGGTTCTTTAATGTGAATGCCAATGTGTAGCCTACTGATTCTGATACCAAGTTACATTCTATTACCGAATAAAACTTGTACGTGTGTCTCTGGACTGTAATTTGTACATGGCCACTGCAAAAAATTAATGAGCTGAGGAGGAGAGGACTGTGGGAAAGATACTAGTGTCAGAACTGGAAAAGCACTGGAGAGTACAGGTATGTTTATGCTCTGCCTCATATGAATCAGAGCTGATGTTGATGGCTGATTCTCCTACATCTATAGTTAGAGGAAGTGAGAAGCTGTCCACCTTTTTTAAACTACTATTGCTACAAGGCGCATTTTAAAAGCATTAATGAGAATATGTAACGCATCACCTTTAGAAAGAAACATTAAAAAAACTTACTCAGACAAAAATCTCATGGAATACTGACCTGTTCTAATGAGGTGACCTTAATTCTCCTTAAAAACTAGGCATAGCCAAGGAGTTGGAAACAACGCAAATTTTCATCAACAGATGACAGGATTAAAAAACTGTGGTACATACATACAACGGAGTACTGTGCATCCTTAAAAAGCAGTGATGAACGCATGAAGCACATCACTGCATGGGAAGAACGGGAGGAAATCATGCTAAGTGAAGTAAGCCAAGCACAAAAGGACAAGTACAACATGAGCCTGCTGAGGTAAGCTTAAAAATGCAAAAGGGTCATAGGGAAAAAGCTACTGTATACAAACATTCCTAAGGTGAGGTTCAGGTAGTATGGTAGTATGGCAGGGGCCAGACCAAATCCAGGGATACAACTACAAAGTTGGGGGGTGGAAAAAAAAGAAAAAGACATGGGTAGCAGGGGAACAGGATATTAACCCACCCAAGGGGAGGGTATTGCTTAGTTCTCCACAGAGAACGAGGGACTAGATTTCAACTGAGTGCACCAATACGTGAATGTAACATACTGGCATGAAGCAGGGCGCCAGTAGAGAGGTCTGAGGGAGGGAGGGAAAAAATGAGGAGCTAATATCAAGGGCTCAAGTAGAAAGATGACGTTTTGAGAATGATGATGGCAACAGATGTACAAATGTGCTTGACACAATAGATGTATGTATAGATTGTGGGAAGAGTTGTACGATCCCCCAAATAAAATGACGTAAACAAATTTGGCATAGCATATCATTTGAATGATTTTCGTGGGTTGGCCATAGAATAATGTATTAAAGATAATGTCATCCAAAGGATCCTCAGTGACATATCATGTTCAATGTCAATAGTTTAGTTTTGATCCTATGATCACTATTCATACTCCTAATCTTCTCCAGCCCAATCTTGAAGTCAGAATCAGAGTTTATCTATAACTTCCACGATTTCAGATTTCCACTTCTCCAATGAACTGAATCAGTGTTATGCAGGCTTCTACAACTCCAGTAGGAAATACAGAAAAGGATAAAACACATCAAATCACCTGAGCCTTGGTCATTTTCTTTGGTCCTTATGACACTGCCGGCAACTGGGATGCTCTATGTTTGTCTTCTCTGGATCAGCTCTAATGATGCTCACAAATTTCAATCTCTCATGGGGACATCCCAGAAATAATAATACCCAAACAGGCACTTCCTCTTTCTTCTTCGCTGCTGTTGACGCACAATCTGCAGGCTGATGGGAGAATGCAATGTGAGTAATACGTAACCTGTAGGTCCAGATGTGATACTGCTCTGTCCCTCTTCTTACACCAAGTCCCCAATCCTGTCAACAGTGCCCTTACTGAGTGACGGAAAACATGCTGATACCAGGAGCAATAAACCTAAAACTCTAAATTTTCAGACATGTGAGTAAAAGATGAGTTTATAATAAATAAGAGATTGGACAATCAAATACACGTCAAAAAGAAACAAAAAAGCTGGATCCCTACCTCACAGCATACAGAACTATCCATTACTTACTGTGTGACTCTCAAGGAGAATGACAAAGCAATGAATGTTAAAGATGATTACGCTAATCAAACCATCCGGTAACATTTTATATGGGCTATATAAAAAACTATTATAAACTGAAAATGATTTTCTAGAGGAACTATAAATTTTACAATCACTTTAGAAACACTTTAAAACTCACCATCAAGTAGAGTCAGAAGTGTAAGCACCCGTTAGAACACAATAAAACTGCTGCACAGAGTTTCCGAGACTCTAAAGCCATGACAGGCAGCTAATGGGAATTTTATCTCTGACCATAAGGTTAATAGCCCAACTCTTAATACATTTCAAAACCAGGGCTCCAAAATAAACTCTTATGTATCATATTAGATTGAAACTTATAGTTTTTGAAATGAAGTAAGAAGTATACAACCCCCCATAGTGAGTGCACTTTTGAATCCCAAGATAATGTTTTCAAGGTGGCATTATTTGTATTACCTAATGCAGTGTGCTAGTTGGCCTATACAAGTATATAGTCTTTCTAGAGATGGCCCCCATCTCCTTCCAAATATTTACACGGGTTTGTCGCCCACCAATGTGAATGAAGCAAAGGAGCCCTGGTGGCATAGTGGTTACTGTGCAGATGGAAACCACATTTCTCCTTGAAAGAGAGACGGCACTTTCTTCTCCCAAGAGCGGCACGGCTCCCTGCTCTGCTAGAGACACAGTCTTTGAAGC